TAAGTACAGGCTACCATGTGCTAGCTTTCCTGTGATTCTCAAACTGGAAAAAACGCCAACTAGAATAAGTTCAGATGATCAGAAGTGACATGCATATAAATGCTTACGACTGTGCTCTGGTGCAACCTCTCTCAGAGTCTGAATGTGAGATGGGAAGAACTACACCCAATATGGATTGGATATCGTATGAGGACAAAAAGTATGTAAAACTGGGACTGATGCTGTCTGCAAACTGTACTTGAGTGAAGCACATAACCAGCACTGGACCTAAGTGCAATGCTCCCTCTTCCTCTGCAGATGACACTAGAGAAGGAAATAACATTTTCTTCTCTAGTGTACCCTCTGGTTTTCTGACCTTTCAACCTCCTCTTCTGCTATACTATAACCTATAGCAGTGTTTCTCAACCTTTTTAGACTCAAGGCACCCCTCAGAAAATTGTTGGCGTTTAGTTTTCACTTGATTTTTGACCAAATAAAAATAATAAAGCAATTCTTCTGCTGCAAAGAACTCAGAAAGACTGCAACAGGTCAGAATGTTCTTAAACACTACAGATGCCTATTTGAAATTGTTGGGTTTATCTTATGAATTATTGTTTGCACATCTTACAGTGCTAACATTGTGTGACACTTGGCAGGACACCCCTGAAATGGATCTGAAAGCACTGTGGTTGAGAATCACTTACCTACATATCATGTCATCTGAGAAACCAAGGACTAAAACGGGACTGAGGGAGAAAGCCAAACTTTTCATTTGGCTAAAGAATAGGTGGAGTGGGAGAAACTGGAAGAAAGACAAAGAAAACAAAAAGGAAGAGAGATTGAGGGGATGAGGACAGAAAAAAAAGGAAAACAATCGATTCAACAAAAGCAGGAATTTGTACCTCCCTGCCTGCTTCTGACATCAGACACCTTCAGGGATTTGCCTTATCTGCACATAACAGAGGAACACACACACAAAAGGACTCTCAGACCCAGGGGAATACACTTCCAGCTTCTATCCCCATGTGCAAAATGAAGTTTATTTTTGACCTATGAGGTTTTTTACAATTTTTGATTTCTCCTCAGCCTGACGAAGGATGTGTGTGCACAAAAACTTCCAAAGAAAGAATTTTTTTGCTGCTTTTTAGTTGGTCTAATAAAAGATATTGCCTCTGAACCAAGAGTTTTGTGCTTCTCTGGAATTCATCCTCTGTAACTTAGATGTCATGTTGATCATCAGACAGTACAGTTTTAGAAGACATGAACATCTTACAAGTCTCTGGCCATCATAGCATTCGGTCCTCAATATTCAGTGATCCCAAAGGATGCCATGTATGTCACTTCCATTTTTGTTCTGAAAGATGACAGATGTGGGTATCAACTGAGTCCTGAAGAAATACTAACTGCCTGCCAGGTATGGATTTGTCCTTCTGGACCAAAAGAAAATGTAATTTTGTTTTATCAAACAAAATGTAACAAGAAGGACACTAGATTAGACTGCTAGCCTTAATCCTAGCATACTGATGTAGAAAGTAAACATGGAAACAATAAAAAAACATGGTTCTGTGAAAATCAAATGAAGTCCTTAGCCGTCTCCACATAGGCAAAACAATAACAATCTACCAGTTTGAAAAATTCACACACTAGGACACCAAGCAATTGAAGTTACTAAAGTAAGTGAACTAAATACCCAGAATAAGAGTCAACATTCAAAATGAAATATACTGAGTGATTAGCCTTCCAGAAGAAACTCCGGCTGTTTTAAATATCTTAGATTTTTATTCCTAGTTTCAGCCCATTCGTTTCTTGAATCTGTGCAAAATACATTTAAAGGGCCATCCACAGGCACAAGGATCCATGGACTCCAATGCAGAATCAAGTCTTATAATACATATTTAATGTAGGAGTAGTGATTTCCTTACATCATCATACTGAATGCCTACCACATTCACCACTTAATTCAAGTGATAGAAAACTGACATTGTAAAGTTAAGCAGTGTATTCCAAAAGTTCAGCCTAATGATTTAAAGCATCCAGATTTACTCTTTAGTCATCTACAATTACTCTAAAGCAAATTATTAAATAAAAGTGATAATTTATGGTAGTGAGAGAGATCTTTTTGGCAAGTGCATCATAAATTGGCTCATACCTTCCCTGAAGGTTACTTCAATCCCCTTCCTCTGTCTGCTCTGCTTTCTCCTTCCTGCCCAATCTGCTGCTCTATGGCTGTGACCGCCACAGACTGCCACATACAGACTGCCCATGCCACTTGAGATATACATCTCAAGGAAGGTTGCCCCCCCCCCCATAATCTATAGCACAAGTGTCACATTTTCCAGGTATCTGAGCCTAGCAATAAATACTTGGGCAGCTAATATTTGAAAACAGCCTACAAGTACAATGGGACATTTCAGATCATAAAATATGGCTTTAGTTTTAGCCACTAATCAGCTAAAACAAGAAGATGTATTATCTGGCTCTCATAGATATTCACCTCTTAAGGGTAAAAAAAAAAAAGCAGAATCTGACTGGCGTGGCAGTTACACGTGCAGTATGATAGAAAATGGAAGCAAAACCATAACCTCATGCTCCCCAGATCTTGCAAGTATATGCCCCACCATTGTGAAGTCAGGCACTTGCATGCCCCTGCCTTCCCTACTGCCACTTTCCTCACCACCACTGAGCAGTGAGGGATGTGGTGGTAGCTGCTGAGATGGACAGGGAAGGAGAGGTGTGAAAATGGCTGAAGTATACGGGGTACTACTGATTGCTGCTGTAATTCACATCTCTCCCCACACACCAACCCAAACTTTCATGGAGGCATGCCCCACACAGTTTGGGAAATACTGCTTTAATGCAAGTACAAATTCAATAGCATTCAAAATCTGTTCTTATACCAGCTTTTATGTAATTCAGAAGAGAACACTGAGCACCATGTTTTTCTTTAATAAAAAAGAGAACTTGACTCTCAAAAGTTTGCAAACAAAGCCTGAAAATAGATGCCGAAAGTTAAAGGGATACAAATTACGAGGGATGAATCTTTGAAGGTAGAGATCCACACTTGAATTGGGAAAAAAAAAAAAATCAGTCTGTAAACCTACATCCAAAAAAGTTCATGCAAATTTAGTAACTGCCTAGAAGTTTTTACATGCTAAATGAAGAGACACATTTATGTATACCCTTTTTATTGTGATCCTGCATTCAAAACAAAAAAATCCTAAATAACTTCTCTTGATAACTATGTAACATTAACAAGACATGCAAAACTACTTAATCAACATGCACAAACTGAATTTTGATTAAGTGATGTTAGAACTTGCACACCAAACCAGAACAGCATAAGTATTTAAACCCTTATCTTATCATAATTAAGACATAAGAATTTAATTAATCTTAATTTAAAAAAAAAATCAAATTAAATTAAAAAATCCTTCCCTTCCTATCTAAAAGTGCTGGGCGAAGATGTAGTGAAATGTATTTTTTTTTTTTTTTTTTAAATAATGAAATGTAATTTAATAATTACATAACACTTTACAAGTGTTACGTAAACACTTTTGAACTCTTATGTAAAATTACTTCGGCTCAAATACTGCTTGGAATTAAAATTGTTTAATTCCAGAGTAAAGTCATGGCAGTCAAGTTACGGCATTTTCTTCAAATTAATCTGAAGTAGCATGTCTCCATCTACAAAAGAGCTATATATCAAATTGAACTGAATAAACTGTGATGTTATGTACGTTATTTTATAATTTATTTAACATATTCAAGCTGGGCATTCTAAAACCAATTATATTTTACAAAAGAAATCTAAACTATCAGTTATCCATTTCATCTGACAGAATTTAGCCAAAAAGAAAATTTGAAGTTTAAGCAAGTGAACTAAACTGAAAATGCTGTGGTCTTCGGCTGTTAATAGATGTGGGAAAACAAAACAAAACAGTGCTTTAGTTTAAGCCCAGCATGCCCCTGCACCAAGCATATTTCATGCCCAGAAGAGGCACTGCATTAATTTGACTCAGCTCACCCACAGATAAGGTGCTTCAGCAGAGCTTTTCGGCACTTTTATCTAATAGCCAACTGAATCCGTTTTTAGATGAAAGCACCAAAAAGCCCCTCCCAAGTGCCCAATCTATACAGATGCTGGGTAGCTGGGTCAAAGTAACACATTTCCTTTTCTGGTAAAGTGCTGGTTTTTGTTCACTGGGGAGCAGGAAGGGCTTTGGCTTTTGTTTGTTTTGGGTTGTGTTTTTTGGGGGGGGGGGGGAGGGTTTATGTTTGTCAGAAGCCTTTGGGATGCTTTTTTTTTAAAATGTGGGAAATAAAATGGGTT